TTCCCAAGCGGAATATGAGTTGCTGTTCCTGCAACCTTCAGGTGGCATCGTTGTGGCACTGCAGGAGGCCCAGGATGGACATGTCGTCTGAGGAATGGGAGGGGGAGTTGAAATGGTTCGCAACTGGGAGGTGCAGTTGTTTATTGCGAACCGAGCGTAGGTGTTCCGCAAAGTGGTCCCCAAGCCTCCGCTTGGTTTCCCAGATGTAGAGGAGGCCACAATGGGTACAGCGGATGCAGTATACCACATCAGCAGATGTGCAGGTGAACATCTGCTTGATGCGGAAAGTCTTCTTGGGCCTGGGATGGGGGTGAGGTGTAGCACTTCCTGCGGTTGCAGGGAAAAGTGCCGGGTGTGGTGGGGCTGGAGGGGAGTGTGGAGCGGACAAGGGAGTCACGGAGAGAGTGGTCCCTCCGGAAAGCAGATAAGGGTGGGGAGGGAAAAATGTCTTTGGTGGTGGGGTCGGATTGCAGATGGCGGAAGTGTCGGAGGATGATGCGTTGGATCCGGAGGTTGGTGGGGTGATATGTGAGGACAAGGGGGATTTTTTTTGGTTGTTATTGCGGGGACGGGGTGTGAGGGATGAGTTGCGGGAAATGCAGGAGACACAGTGGAGGGCGTTTTTGACCACTGAGGGGGGGAAGTTGCGGTCCTTGAAAAACGAGGACATCTGAGATGTACGGGAGTGGAATGCCTCATCCTGGGAGCAGATGCGGCGGAGGCGAAGGAATTGGGAATAGGGGATAGCATTTTTGCAGGAAGGTGGGTGGGAGGAGGTGTATTCTAGGTAGCTGTGGGAGTCGGTGGGCTTGAAATGGATATCGGTTTCTAGGTGGTTGCCCGAGATGGAGACAGAGAGGTCCAGGAAGGTGAGAGAGGTATTAGAGATGGTCCAGGTGAACTTAAGGTTGGGGTGGAAGATGTTGGTGAAGTGGATGAACTGTTCGAGCTCCTTGTGGGAGCACGAGGCAGCGCCGATACAGTCATCAATGTAACGGAGGAAGAGGTGGGGTTTAGGGCCGGTGTAGGTACGGAAGAGGGATTGTTCCATGTAACCTACAAAGAGGCAGGCATAGCTTGGGCCCATGCAGGTACCCATGGCCACCCCTGTTGTCTGTCGGAAGTAGGAGGAATTGAAAGAGAAGTTGTTGAGGGTGAGGACGAGTTCGGCTAAGCGGATGAGGGTGTCAGTGGAGGGGGACTGGTCGGGCCTGCGGGACAGGAAGAAGCGGAGGGCCTTTAGGCCATCTGTATGGGAATGCAGGTGTATAGGGACTGGACGTCCATGGTAAAGATGAGGTGTTGGGGACCGGGGAATTGGAAGTTCTGGAGGAGGTGGAGGGCGTGGGTGGTGTCACGGACGTAGGGAGGGAGTTCCAGGACTAAGGGGGAGAAAACTGCACCTCCCAGTCGCGAACCATTTCAACGCCCCCTACCATTCCTCAGACGACATGTCCATCCTGGGCCTCCTGCAGTGCCACAACGATGCCACCCGAAGGTTGCAGGAACAGCAACTCGTATTCCGCTTGGGAACCCTGCAGTCCAATGGTATCAATGTGGATTTCACAAGCTTCAAAATCTCCCCTCCCCCTACTGCATCCCAAAACCAGCCCAGCTCGACTCCGCCTCCCTAACCTGTTCTTCCTCCCACCTATCCCCTCCTCCCACCTCAAGCCACACCTCCATCTCCTACCTACTAACCTCATCCCGCCCCCTTGACCTGTCCATCCTCCCTGGACTGACCTATCTCCTCCCTACCTCCCCACCTACACTCACCTTTACTGGCTCCATCCCCGCCTCTTTGACCTGTCTGTTTCCTCTCCACCTATCTTCTCCTCTATCCATCTTCTATCCGCCTCCCCCTCTCTCCCTATTTATTTCAGAACCCCCTTCCCCTCCCCCATTTCTGAAGAAGGGTCTAGGCCCAAAACGTCAGCCTTCCTGCTCCTATGATGCTGCTTGGCCTGCTGTGTTCATCCAGCTCTACATCTTGTTATCTCAGATTCTCCAGCATCTGCAGTTCCTACTACCTCCTTCAAGCATGGCATTTTATGAAACTCAGACTGACACAGAACAAAGATTCAACATTACTCACACTTTGACCAGGGCCGGACTGGAACACCTCCTCAAGATGAAGCTTTGATGCTTTGACAGTTCCTCCAGTGCCTTACAGTATAGCCCACAAAGGGTGACCCACATGCTGTGCCCTTCACAACTAGAACAGACAGAGTGGCAATGTTCTGGATGCAAATGAAATGTAGGTCAGCAGAAATCATTTCAGGGTGAAAATGAGACTGAGGTTCAGAACATTGAACAGGAAGGTCATCCAAGGCAGCATGCAAAGCAGAGACTGAGAGGCCAGGGTTAACCTAATTAAAAGCTGTTTTCAGGGTGAATGAGCTGGATTTGACTTACTTTAATTGTTTCATATTTTCTTAGCTATATGGCAAGAAGTTCTTGCTTTCTGCAAAGAACATGTGAATCCTATTATTTTTGAACTCCTCAACCTTTGTGTTGTTGAATAAATGTCTTGTTACCTTTTGATTACATGTTCGATATCTTCAGGTGGTCCCACTTTAAATACATATGTTTAACATTAGAGATGGGTTCTCTTTTGGCGCAGGGGTCATGTCCTTGCCCCTGGCCCCAAGAGGTCCAGGTTCAAGTCCCACCCACTCCAGAGGTGTGTTATGTATATCTCTGAACAAGTTGATTAGAAAAATAGATTAATGTTAGTGACGCTGCATTTTTGTGGTGCATTAGTCAGGTCCCTACCTCTGGAATGAGAGACTCAGATCATCTGAAGAAGAGTTGCCAGACTCAAAATGTTCACTCTGCTTTCTCTCCACAGATGCTGCCAGAGCTGCTGAGTTTCTTCAGCAATTCCTGTTTTTGCTCTTTCTATAATGCTGGGATTCTCTTTTTACTTGGTGTACAGCTCTGACCTGGGCTCCAATCTTTGTCCAGGTTTTGTGAGTCTGATGCTGTGGCCTCCTATGGCAGTCAGTTGGAAAAAAGACTGGTGTTCTCTGTACCACCACTCCACCTGCATCTCAACGTCCCTGTCTGTGAAGAAGGATGTGAGCTTTCCTTTCCTCTGGGCTATGTATTGGCCAAAAGCAGCCAAGCATGAGGCCTACTTACTGGCTTGCATGCGTCTGAAGTGGTTTGCAGTAGGCCTTCAACTATGCCTCCAAAGGTGTGAAAAGCTGAAGGTCCCAGCAGTGACAAGCATTTCCATGTCTTTGGCTATGCAGTTCTCATAAAGTGCCCAAAAGCATGCCACACAAATGCCAGAGAGTGACCACCTCCAATAAGAGACAATCTAACCATCTCCTCTTGACATTCAACGATCTTACCATCACTGAATCTGCCACCATCAACATGCTGGGGCCTACCATTGACCAAAAACTGTACTGGATTGGCCATATAAATATAATGGCTACAAGAGCAGTGCAGAAGTGAGGAATATTGCAGCAAGTATCTTCCCTCCTGACTCCCAAAGCCTGTCCACCATTTACAGATTACAAGTGCAGAATGGGATGGAACAGACCCGCAGATGAGTGCAGCTCCAACAACAATACAAAGCTGTCTGCTTGATTGACACCACATAACTCCCTCCACCAGCAATGCTCAGCAGCTGCAGTCTGTACCAACTACAAGATGCACTGCAGAAATTCACCAAGGATCCTTGGATAGTACCTCTGAAACCCGTGACCATTCTATCTAGAAGGACAAGGGAAGCAGATACATGGAAACACCATCACCTGCAAGATCCTCTCCGAAGCACTCACCATCCTGATTTGGAATTTTATTCTCTATCTCTCAGTCAAAATACTGAAACCGCCTTCCTAATGGTGCAGTGTGTCTACCTACAGCACATGACTGCAGCAGTTCAAGCAGGCAGTTCGCCACCATCTTGAGCATCTAGGGATGGGCAATAAATTCTAGTCCAGCCAGTGACGCCCACGTCCCATGATTAAATTTTTTTTAAAGGTCCAACTACATAATTAATGACTTAATAAAGAGCAGAAGATTGTACTCTGAGCCACGGTGGACTAGTCATTATGAATCTCACGCACTGTAAGACTTCAACTGAGAATGGCAAAGCTCCACCCTCTTATATTTTTTAAATGAGGAAACTAAAGTTGTACTCAGTAGTCCAGGTGAAGTTTCATCATTGCCTGTACAGCTGCAGTAAAATTTCCTTTTTATATTGTGTTCCCCTTATAAAAAAGTAACAACATTCTATTTGCCTTCTGAATCAATTGCTGTATGCATATACTAACTTTGTACTTAATATAGCAGGACTCCCGGATGCCTCTGTGCCACCACATCTTGCAATTTCTTTTCATTTAAATAGTATACTACATTTGTATTCTTCCTGCTAAATTGGACAAGTTTGCATTTTCCCACATTATACTGCATTTGGCATGTTTTTTGCCCACTCCTTTAACCTACATATATCCCTTTGCAGACTTTCCATCTCCTCCTGCCAACTTTCCTACCATCCTTAATGTCATGAACACATTTAGTAACTATAAATTTGTTGTGATTGTAATGAGGTCAGCCAGGTGGACTTCATAGAATACAAGTTCCCTGATTGGGGCTGTTAATCTGATACAATCAGGCAGCTGTGGCTGGCAGATAAGAACAAATAAGCAGCATCAGGCATCCTGTTACTCTAAAGGCTGGCTTTGAGGGAACCAGGATCAGTGTTAAGGACTCTCCATGTGTAACTAAAGGGTGACTTGGTGATGTGATACTGGCTTCTGTGGAGTTATTTCACTTTCGTCCCCCACTGTTTGACATAGGTGATTTTCTTGTGACAATCTGCAGGTGCAGTGGATCTAGAGAGTCCAAGTCCCAAGAAGGTGGCAACGAAGGGTCTACCTATGACCTCAGTGAACTATCCAGCTGCACCTGCCTGCTTGACATTTCTGATTTTTAATTTTATTGCTTGTCTCCTCCTTGTTAAGACACCCTCTCAATCCCTGAGCTGTATCAGTAGTACCCATGTCTCCTGATGCAGCTGCCAAAGCTTTTGACCTCCTGGCAAATACAGGTATGAGTCCCCCATAACTCCCTGTTGTTAGGATCGCAAAGCCTGTGGTAAAGTACTGAGCTCAGGGTCCAGCTCAAATGTCAAAAAGGTCACCTGTATGAACATTGAAATCTATCAACACCTATATTTGTAGAGTGAGGGATGTTTTAATTTTGATCTGATAAATAAAGTCAACACAAGTATAGGTTTCTACATTTTCCTTCCAATTTTCTGTCTCTCCTCTTATAAACTTGTACTATGGCATGATCTACGCACATCTGCCAGCCCCCCGGTTCATTACCTAAGAAACCTTCATGTGAGAGTGTGAACAGTAGGTATCACTATGCTGCGGGAGCGTGGAGAGCTGCCGACTGTTCTCATCTGATGGTCCCACATAAGAATGTTTCCTATAAGACTGGATGAGTAGCAATCAAGCAGGAACCCTTGGACTTGAATTTGTTTTTGACTTTAATTAACCAGGGAAACTAAGGTCAAATGGTGCATTTGTCTCAGCTGTGATTAACTTATTCTATCTGGACCATCAAGAGTGTGAAACTCAGTGATATTTTAGATATTATGGTTATTTACAAAGTTATTAGAGAACTTATCATTTTATATATTTTGAAGGAACATGTGTAGTTTTTTGTGCTTCCCTGATTAGAAGGTACATCCTGTGGAAGGTGGGGAAAGGGTTTTGATAATGGATAAGTCGGAAAGTGTCAGTCACCAAAAGATACTGCTTTTCTTAGAAAGAAGTTATGTCAGTCAACCCAAAAGTTAATTTAATTGAATTAAAGAATGTTTTATGACACCTGATTCTTGACTTAGTTTCTCATTTTTAAAACAAAATGTTTAGAAACTTTAAAGAAGAATCTGCATAGCGTCAATATCCATCACCAATCAAGCCAAACTTCCAGCCACATGCAAAACCAGCAAAACTCTATGTCTAACCAACTGCTTGTTGGGGAATGGGAAAAAGAAAGAAAGGCGAAAGATAAGACTCAGTCTGAGAGAGAAGAGTATGTGACAGAGGTACTACACTACCATTTGTGGAAACTCGTTTATCATGCTTGTCAAGTTAATAGATGTTAGTGTTGAAAAATGAAGTACTTTTCTCATTTCAGGACTCCATATCCAATATCGGAAACTCCTACTTTAAGCAAAGTATGTTAAATTGCAGAGTAAACTTCCTCTGCTCTAAATTGCCATTTGTTTCAATCCACTGTCAGAAGTCCCTGTTGGTGATTTTAGCCATTGCCTAGTGATTCTAAGTGAAGCCAAATAAAAAATACTTTTTATGCTAAGTTCACTAGTAACAAAATTGAGATTGCACCTATTTTTTGTTTTCCATTTCTGACAGCAACTGTCCTGTGCCTTTTTTGATCCAAATTGTGTATTTAGTGCTAAATGTAGGTTTACTTGTAGAGTAAAACCCGTTTAGTACTGGGTTGACATGGCCCCAAATACATTTTGCAATGGAACTCTTAAGTTGATCACAGAAATAGTCACTCCATCAATCTGTCTGGATTTTAATTCAAGAAATAAATATTCCCATTTTAGACTTTGTTTTTCTTTCATGGACAGTGGAGCTATTTTTGAATTGCAAATTGCATCACCAAAGCAGCAGGACTGCTGATCTTCTCAGAAGCATTGGTTTGAGTGTGGGATCACTATCTGAATAGGTTTGGTGGATGGTTGAGGAGGGAAGAGGAAGATTCAAAGTGCATGATTACCAAGCCAGCAGCCTTCATTGTGTCTACATGTTGGAAGAAATGGCAGCTGCGTCTTCACCACTAGCACTTTCAGTAACACCTATGTCCAGCTGATAACCATGATATTGTAAACTCCTGCCTGTAGGTGACCACATTATTGTCATGGTGCACCAGTCTCCCACTTTATCTTGCCCCCCGTGAGTTGATGAACTGTAGACACTGTGCCATCAGTAATATTCCACATCCCTCAGAAAGTACCAGATGATTACTTCATTAACAAGTTCAATGGTTTTTCTATCACTGCCAGGCAGATTGCTATTATTTGCAGAGACGATGTCTCTGGGAAAGGTGGAAGGAGATGAGAACAGGTCAGTATTCCTCTCTTAAGTCATTTTTCCTAATTATTCCATGCCTCTACTTCCGAACATGATTTAGAGGGCCTGATAAATTTGATGCTTCATCTCAAGAATTTTGAGATATTTGAAAGATTAGTGACTATCCCAAAAGGTGCTATTCACGTTTCATCCTGAAAAGAATTAGCAGATCTGCTTTGGAATCGAATAACATGATATGCTGATATATAAAAAGCATATTTGCCTTGGAGAAGGTGATGATGAGCTGCTTTCTTGAACTGATGTAGAATTTGAGGTGTAGGGATACCCACAGTGCTACTAAGAATGAAGTACCAGGATTTTGACCCAGCAGCATTAAAGGAATGGTGATAAAATTCCAAGAGAGTATGGTGTGTGGCTTGATGGGGAAATTGCAGGTGCTGGTGTTTCCATGCAACTGTTGCCCTAGTATTCTAGGTGGTAGAAATCACAGGTTTGGAAGGTTCTGTCAAAGGAGCTTAGTGAGTTACCAGAGTGCCTTTTGTGGGTGGTACATACTGTGCATCAGTGGTGAAGGGAGTGAATGTTGATGATGATTGATGGGGTGCCAGTCAAGCAGATAACTTTGTCTTGCATGGTGTCGAGCTTCTTGTTGGAGCTTGCCATCCAGGCAAATGTTGATTATTTCATCACATTCCTGACTTGTGACCAGTAGATGGTAGATAGGAACTGGGGAGACAGGAGGTGAGTTACTTGGCAGAGAATTCCTAGCCTTGACCTGTTATTTTAGACACCACTTTTAAGGCTTATCCAGTTCAATCTCTGGTCAATGCTAACTTCTAGGATGTTGATAATTGTAATTCAATTATTGTAATGCATTGAACATCAAAGGATGATGGTTAGATTCATTCTTATTGGAGATTGTAATTGCCTGGCACTTGTATGGCTTATGTTATACTTTCCACTTGTCATCCCAAGCATGGGTTTTGTCAGGACTAGCTGCACATGGACATGGACTGATTCTATATGTGATGAGTCATGAATGGTGCTGAACGTTACATCCTAATCAGTGAATGTCCCCACTTCTGATTGTGTGATGGAAGGGCGATAGTTGATAAATCAGACAAAGTTGGTTTGACCCAGGACACAACCCTGAATAACCCCGCACTTACGTCTTTGGACTGAAATGATTGACTTCCAGCAACCATAACCATCTTCTTTTGTGCTGGAATGACTCTAACCATTGGAGAGTTTTCCCCCTGAATCCCTTGATTCCAATTATGTTAGCGCTTTTTGGTGCCGTAATCTTTTAAATGCAGTATTGATGTTAAGGACAGTCACTTTTATCTCACTTCTTGAATTCAGCTCTTATGTCCATGTTTGGTCCAAAGCTGTAATGAAGTTAGGAGCTACGTGGCTTTGGCAGAACCTGACTGAACTTCAGTGAGGAGGTTATTCTTTTCAAGTGCTTTTTGGCATCACTATTGATGACCCTTTCCATGACTTTGCAGATTGAAATGTAGACTGGTAGGGCATTAATTGGTCGGGTTGGATTAAACTTGCTGTTTTGCAAATGATACATATCTAACCAATCATCTACATTGCTATATAAATGCCAATTTTGTATCTATACTGACAAAGCTTGGCTCAGGGCATGGCTAGTTCCGGAGCACAGACTTTCAATACTAGAGCTAGAATTTTGTCATTTAATTCCCACCTCCACCCCCCCCACCCTTTTTGTCATCCATTTGCAGACCTTCTCTTTTATTATTTGACTATGCTGCCCCCTTCAGTTGCTTAAAACTTGTCACATTTCTAACATTTCCCAGTTATGATGAATTCTCATGGCATCAGGTTAAAATGGACTAGGAAACCTGTTATTGATTCCCACATACTGCGCCTTTCCTTGGGCCAATGAATCAGTACTTGTTGACCACTAATTTGGAAGAAGCAAGAGCACAGAATGTACTAATTGTGGAGGACTTCAGTGTTCACTATCAAGTTGTTCAGCAGTACCACTATGGACTGAGCTAGACATGGCTGCGAGACTCAGTCTGCAGCAGGTAGTTAGGTATATCTTACTTGACTTCCTTCTCAACAATTTACCTGACACAAATGCACCTGTCCAGGACAGTATTGGTAGGAGTGAGAATTGCACAAGATGAAGTACTAGTTTCACATGGAGGATACCCTCCATTATGTCATATAGCACTGTCATCGTGTAAAATGGGATAGGTTTTGAACAGATCTAACAACTCAAGACTAAACATTCATAAGATGCTGTGTGCCTTTAGCAGCAGCAGAATTGTATTCAATCACGCTGTGCTACATCTTGGACCGGCATGTCCTCTGTTCTGACATTACAACAAGTTGGAGGATCAACTCGGGTTCAGTGAACAGTGCAGGAGGGCATGCCAAGAACAGCACCAGGCATTGATAAAAGTGAGATGTCATCCTGCTGAGGTTACAGCACAGGATCACTTGGATACAAAACAGCAGAAGCAGAATGCAGGCTAAATTATCCCACAACCAATGGATCAGTTCTGCAGTTCTGCTATATCCAGTCATGGATGGAGGTTGTGACCAAGTGGTCAACGGCCTAAGCAACTAGGCCCAAATAAAATTGGCTAAACAGTTTCTGCAAGAAGGCATGATGAAATCAAAAATACCAAGGTTACCACAGGTCAAAAGCCAACAAGGACCAGCCCAGACCTGTCTTGCATATTGAAGAGGCATGCTCAACCTTAACAATGAGAAAGTTGTTATGATCCAAAACCCATTCAGAGGTACTCAGCTAGAACAATAGGGAGAGACATTATGTTTCTATATTCTCCAGTTTTGACCAGATTCCTGGCTACCATGAAGCAATCATATCTTAGAAAGGGGATGGTACACTTAGGAGACCTGGCCTATTTTGTGACCCTTGCCTTCTGGCTGTTTCGCCTGAAGACAGAGAACATTCCAGAAGAGCTCAGAAAAGGGGTTTAAGGAGGGACACCTGACAGCCATTCACTCAGCAAACATCCATACGAGGCCCACCTTCATACTAAGAAGGCCCTGAATGCATCTGTTAATGGAGCTCAGTGAATTGAATCCAGCAGCTCAGTCAAGTTCACCATAATAGGCAGTACATGTATTTTTCAGACAGTCAGTCTAGTTTGGGGAATAGTTAATTTGTTGTGTAAGAGTTGTTCCTTCAACTTGCAAGTGTTTTAATAAAATTAACTTTGAACCACAGTCCTTTGTTTGTTTCATACAATAAAAGGGTAAATGTGGTTTGAGTAATAAACTGGTTGAAGTGTCTAAATAGAATATTTCACAGGCAACAAGTTGGGCAAGTAAACAATTAACAGGAGAAAAAGGCTCCACAAATATCCTATCCTCACATGGGAGAATCCATCACATTAGTGCAAAAGATAAGGAGGTAGTAGGAACTGCAGATGCTGGAGAATCTGAGATAACAAGGTGTAGAGCTGGATGAACACAGCAGGCCAAGCAGCATCAGAGGAGCAGGAAGGCTGATGATTCGGGCCTAGACCCTTCTTCAGAAATCTGAAGAATCACACCATTCTGACTTGGAAATATTCCTAAAGAACTGCAGCAGTTCAAGAAGGCAGCTCACCACTACTTTCTCCAAGACAGTTAGGGATGGACAATAAATACTAGCCTAACCAGCCATGCCCAGATCCCATAAGTACATAAAACAGGTTCTGTGAGAAGTGCAACTATGAGAAAAACTCAACAGTACAATAATACATTTTTGTCTCTGTTGACATGTAGAGCTGAAGGATTGCTAATTGTGGAAAGGAAAATAAAAAGTTATTTTGAGGTGATGAATTAGTAATATGCAAAATTGATACGTATGGTGATAACACCAATTTTTTCTAGGTTAACTGCAACTTTGACTTTTACATTTATATTATTGTGTAAAATAACCCTGCTGACAAATTTCATTCTCTGAAGATAGTTAATCAACACGTACACAATTCCCTTGCTTGCACATCTCTTTTCTGAATTAGAAGGTACATCATTTTGATGTTAATTGAAAGCAATACAAGAATAAAATGTGCTCACTAGAAAAGCACGTTGTGTTTTTTTTAATTCTAATAATGTCTTTATTTCTTTCAACAGTAGACTTTGTCAGTACCGTGGGCAAACAACAGTATGTGGCTCAAGTGTTGCTGTGACACTATATGATTCCTGTGACAACAAATCTCTTCTCCTTTCTCTTGAAAATTCAGTCATCTTCTGTCACACACTTTACAGTAGAATTCACTATGTTAGTATTTGCAGTTTTTTTTTCCCACACTTCGCCTGAGACATTATCACCAATTGTTACACCCTTATCACTAACTTCATCAAGATGAGCTACAAAACAGCAATCGTATCTTTGGCTGTCCTGTTCAGCTTGAGCCACTTTCATTTTAGGCAGAAACTTAATCAAGTCAACCATGAAAGAAACTGGGATGTAAAAGCCTTAATGGCTGACGCTGCATTATTACCCTAATTGCTGCTGTAGTTAGGGATGAAACTTGCAGTGTCACATATCACCTTCCCATAATATTGAATCTCGATTGTAAATTTGTGGACTTGTTTTAAGACATTCTTCTGTCTTTCACAGCTTGGACAAACAAGCCCTGGTTTTACTGAGGAATCCAACAATCCTACAAATGTAGGAGTAACCTCAGAGGAAAATATAATCGTTCGAATTTTGAAAGATGTTGCTAGTTATAAAGACAACAGGTGCGTAGATACTACTATCATACTCTGCATATTTGCGTTGAGGAAAGGAACTAGGTACTGTACAAACTACCTCATGCTTAGCCAAACAACCATTAATGCTCAACTGATCGAGATAAAAAGATGAAGATTCCACAGTGATGCTACCCTAAACACAAAACAACATTTTCATAGAACTGAACCACAGCCAGTTATTTGGTCATTTTTACCATAGAATCATGAAATGGTTGCGGCACATAAGTGGGTTGTTCAACCCATTGTGTCCATATCATCTCCCTGCAAAAGCAGCACACCTAGTCCTACTCTTGTCACCTTTTTCTTGTAGTCCTATACATTCTATTTTATTCTTCAGATAGTCATCCATTCCTGTGTTGAAAGCCTTAATTATCCTCACCATTTGCTGTGTAGAGAAGTTATTCCTCATGTCACTGTTGCTTCTTCTATCATCATCTCGAACTAGTGTCTCCCCTGTTTCTTGATCTTTTATTTTCCACAGTTTCATGAGTTTATTTTGTGTAACAGCAAATTTCCTCAATCACACTTATACAGAAATTACTTCAATATTTACATCATCAATCAGGAAACATATGTGTTGAGAGCGCAATTCAAAATCATGAATAATTATGGTGTAGGAGGAGGCCATTTGGAATTTTGGCTTAGTATCAATTTCCTACCTATGCCCCATAACCCAGCACATTGTTTCTATTTAAATAATCATCTCACTCCCTTTTGAATGGCTGCGTTGAATCTGTCTCCACCACACTTGCAGGCACTGAGTTCCAGACCCTAACCACTTGGTATGTGATAAAGTTTTTTTTTAACCACCTAGCATTTGCTTCTTTTGCAATTTTTCTTTTAATCTTTATCCCCTGTTTGTCGATCAAATGGGAACAATTTCTCGCTATCTAAACTATCCAGATCCCACATGATTTTGAAAACTTTGTTAGACCTCCCCTTAGCCTTCCCCTCATAAAGAACAACAGTCCCAAATACTCCAATCTAAATCCATAACTGAAGTTTCTCATTCTTGGAACCATTCTCATAAACATTTACTTGTTATGTTTGAAGTGTTCAAATTCTTCAAATTGTGATGCCTAGAACTGTACATGATACTCCAGTTCCTTGATCAGTGCCACATCTAGCTAGAACCAGCAAAAGCTGCAGAATGAAGAAAAAGAAAGAGTGAATTTCAGTTAAATTTGATTTTGATCTGTCAGTTGTCCAACTGGGCTTCTTGACATTTTGTCATAAGGTCTTGGTAAACTTTTTTTAAGAGAAGAAAATCATTAAGAAATTTTGATATGTAATTTTTCGTTATATCAGGTAACCCTTGGCCATGTTGCCCATATATTTGTAAGTTAGGATCAAGGAAAACCCTAAAGCTTTCTATGGGTATGTCAGGAATAAAAGAATGACTAGAGTAAGATTGGGGCCGGTCAAGGACAGTAGTGGGAAGTTGTGCGTGGAGTCCGAAGAGATAGGAGAGGTGCTAAATGAATATTTTTCGTCAGTATTCACACAGGAAAAAGACCATGTAGTCGAGGAGAGTATTGAGATACAGTCTATTAGACTAGACGGGATTGAGGTTCTTAAGGAGGAGGTGTTAGCAATTCTGGAAGGTGTGAAAATAGATAAGTCCCCTGGGTCGGATGGGATTTATCCTAGGATTCTCTGGGAAGCTAGAGAGGAGATTGTAGAGCCTTTGGCTTTGATCTTTATGTCGTCATTGTCTTCAGGAATAGTGCCAGAAGACTGGAGACTAGCAAATGTTGTCCCCTTGTTCAAGAAGGGGAGTAGAGACAACCCTGGTAATTATAGACCAGTGAACCTTACTTCGGTTGTGGGTAAAGTGTTGGAAAGGATTATAAGAGATAGGATTTATAATCATCTAGAAAGGAATAATTTGATTAGGGATAGTCAACACGGTTTTGTGAAAGGTAGCTCGTGCCTCACAAACCTTATTGAGTTCTTTGAGAAGGTGACCAAACAGGTGGATGAGGGTAAAGCGGTTGATGTGGTGTATTTGGATTTCAGTAAAGCGTTTGATAAGGTTCCCCATGATAGGCTATTGCAGAAAATACGGAGGCATGGGATTGAGGGTGATTTAGCGGTTTGGATCAGAAATTGGCTAGCTGTAAGAAGACAGAGGGTGGTGGTTGATGGGAAATGTTCATCCTGGAGTTCAGTTACTAGTGGTGTACCTCAAGGATCTGTTTTGGGGCCACTGCTGTTTGTCATTTTTATAAATGACCTGGATGAGGGCGTAGAAGGATGGGTTAGTAAATTTGCGGATGACACCAAAGTCGGTGGAGTTGTGGATAGTGCGGAAGGATGTTGCAGGTTACAGAGGGACATAGATAAGCTGCAGAGCTGGGCTGAGAGGTGGCAAATGGAGTTTAATGCGGAAAAGTGTGAGGTGATTCACTTTGGAAGGAGTAACAAGAATACAGAGTACTGGGCTAATGGTAAGATTCTTGGTAGTGTGGATGAGCAGAAAGATCTCGGTGTCCATGTGCATAGATCACTGAAAGTTGCCATCCAGGTTGATAGCGTTGTTAAGAAGGCGTACAGTATGTTAGGTTTTATTGGTAGAGGGATTGAGTTTCGGAGCCATGAGGTCATGTTGCAGCTGTACAAAACTCTGGTGCGGCCGCACTTGGAGTATTGCGTACAGTTCTGGTCACCGCATTATAGGAAGGATGTGGAAGCATTGGAAAGGGTGCAGAGGAGATTTACCAGGATGTTGCCTGGTATGGAGGGAAGGTCTTATGAGGAAAGGCTGAGGGTTTTGAGGCTGTTTTCGTTAGAGAGAAGAAGGTTAAGAGGTGACTTGATAGAGACATACAAGATGATCAGAGGATTAGATAGGGTGGACAGTGGGAGCCTTTTTCCTCGGATGGTGATGGCTAGCATGAGGGGACATAGCTTTAAATTGAGGGGTGATAGATATAGGACAGATGTCAGAGGTAGGTTCTTTACTCAGAGAGTAGTAAGGGCGTGGAATGGCCTGCCTGCAAAAATAGTAGACTCGCCCACTTTAAGGGCATTTAAATGGTCATTGGATAAACATATGAATGATAATGGAATAGTTTAGGTTAGATGGGCTTCAGATTGGTTTCACAGGTCGGCGCAACATCGAGGGCCGAAGGGCCTGTACTGCGCTGTAATGTTCTATGTTCTATGTTCTACGTTCTAAGTGGTTTAAACAAGTGCAGCATTTGCATAAATAAGGAAAAAATGTACATGCTGTTCTTTTGCAATGTTGTCTTCTTATATAAGTGAGCAAAGAGTGTTTCTGCAAATATATCTTGGAATCTATGTGAACAATTAAGAAATTTTGCATGCACTCGTATTTCATTGTATACCAGTTGTAAATCAGATTAGTGCAAATTTCCTACTTAACTAAAATCAGAACAGCACTGTAATTACATTGTAATTGTTTGCAAAGCTTTCAAAGAGATTCTAGGCCATTTAAACGAGGGGTTCAACTTAAAAACAATCTTCAGTGGGGATGTCACTTTCAGCAGATAACATCTTGGGTTCTTGGGTTTCCGTGGACAAGCTTCTGGTATTGCAACAAAGATATCAGAGTCATAGCTCACCAAACACGGTTTCATCTAGTCCCATTGTGTGTGGGATTCTTACAATGAAAGAAATACAAATAAGATGTGCTACATGTATCTGTATGGAAAGTAGATCAGTGTCAAACCTTGATCTAAAATTTGGAATGTGAATCGCGACAGCAAAATAGGAAGAGTTAATTGACTGATCATGTACTATAAAAATGGATGATTGTGGTGGGATTTGCCATTAACAAGTATGTGGTTTCCATCAGCAATGACAAAACACAAAGCAATTATCTATAGAAACTACAAAGACTATTTGTTTCCAAGGCGTTATATCAATATTCTTTCTTCCCAAGGACAATCCTACACAGCAACAAGCTGCCAATGAAAATAGTGACAGCTCCATCACTAGAAATCTTGAAGAGCCGTTCTTAGATTATCTTAATTTAAATGTTTTGATTATTGAAACTACCGTTTCATGAGATTGTACCTGGTTTACCAATACTACCCAGAAAATCTTGGTGGAGTATGGATATTAGTCTGTGATGCTTAAACAATTAAAGGAGAAACCTTCAAATTTACTTCTAAAATATAATGGAAAATTCTTTTTCTTGGAGCATAGTGGAGTTTTCCCAAACACATTTCAAACAGAACAATGCCAAACAATCATTCATTTTTCATGACTATTGTATAAGCAAACATAGCAGCCATTTTGTGAAGCAGATGATTAATATATCCAATAAATATGACTTTTTCATTGTTTGTTAAGGGATGAATGTTGGTTGGTTCATGGGACAACTCCAAGGCATTTTTGAATACCTGCAGGATACATGAATGGGTAGATGGGGCCATAGCATCTCATCAGAAAGATGGCCATTTCACTAATGCAGTGCTCTCAGGTTTCAAATTTTGAAACAGGTCTCAATCCTGCAAGTTATGACAAGAAAGCACTGGTGCATTTAATTGAGCCAATATAATGCTATATTTAATGTCCTTAGAAGCAAGAACGCATAACGGATTAATAATTTAGACTTCATCATCTAAATATATATTGGAGCTAAGTTAAAGTGATCAATGAATGGTAACAAAATAGATTTTTGTTTGTGCTAATTTTGTAACTTAGAATATACCTGCATATTGGAATCTGTAAAGTTAATCCCCATAATTCTATCAGCCATTGGGGCATGGAGCCTTTGGCTCAAATGATCTCCTATAGTGCCGCTCGGAGGCTGTCTCCAGTGAGCTTCTCGACAGTGATAGTGAGGGAAGGATAGTCCAATGACTTAAAAGCACTGGCCTTTGCAAAATCACCCTTAGGTGGCCTTATTGCACTAATTGGTTACTTTGTTCTCAGCCCCTAGAGATAAGGTTTAATGAATATGTAGATAAGTTTCTATGATAAGCTGATATCAACAATCATTTGCTAGTACTCTGGTA